AAGATTGGCTTTCTTCCCTTAACTATTTTCTTTCTTATTCAGTTGTCTTATATTAATCTAAAATTTCTGAAAAAGCATTCTAATTTGGAAGGGAGGAACATGTGTCCCCCCCCCGCAACAGATGTTAACCAGAAATAGCTGTTTACAGAGGAAGGCGTCACAGAAGGGGTAGGTTACAGTTAGAATTTCTTAACACTCTTGTAGTTGTTAAATCTTTATATATAAATGTTTCGCTAAAACAACTTAATATTAACACATAAAATCCGGTTGAAAAGAGATCTATGGCATAATAGAGCAGGGGTGAAATGTCAACTGGATTTCTATTTGAAAATCCCCGGTTCAGCAGATCTCTTTTTCCACTAATTATTTCAATTTAATTTTTTTTTGTATATGTCTGGTCTACCATTAGGGTTTCAAAACATAATAACCAAACTTATAACAAAAGTTAATTAATATTATAGATATATTACTAAATACAACTAGATATATTCATATTTTAAAATAAAAAAAATTAAAAAATCATTTAAAAAAAAAAGGATAAAATATAAAATTATAAAAATATATATATACTAACAATCTTATCTACCTTCTTTACAAAACTTTTTTTTTCTTATTATTAGTTTGAATAAAAGTGCATGGTTCTGTCTTTCTATCTTTTCTCTCTATATATATATAACTACTAAAATTTATACTATTAAATATATTCTCACTTCTATTATTCTATATACAAATTAGAGTATGTCTAAATGACGTGTAACAGTCGATTGCTAGACGTTACGTTGTTAAATTTTATTGTTATTAATTATAAATATATATGGATGATGTGTAAGAAGTAAATAATTTTTCTCTCTCTCTCTCTCTATTAAATAATAACAATTTACAAATTTTATAATTTGAATTTGAATAATCAAAGTAATAAAGATAATTTTAATACAAAACTAAACTATAAAACTAAACAACTATTTATTTTTATAATTAATTTAGATTTAGCTTGCTAATCTAATTAAATCTACTTGATATAAATTATCAATATTATCAGTTTACTCTTTAAATTTTAAATATAGAATCGCTATTATATTTTTATTATATAGTCTTTACACTATATATATATATATTAAAACAACACACTAAAATACACAAAACCTATTGAATCGGAAATTAATTCCTTAAAAGACACTTTTGGAGGCTTACAAAAATATTTTATCATATGTCCAATAGATAAATTTTCAAATAATTTATCTATCATTTCTAAAAACTTTTATCATGACCTTCTAAAAAATAAAATTAATAACAATAGTAAATACACTTTCATAAGAACAACTGAAACTAAACTCAAAAAAGATATTTAAAAATGTAGAAAACTCACTAAAAATTATAAATTACAACAGAAACACAAACATACCGAAATTTTTTATTATTCCTAAATTACATATAAAACACCAATCTCATTCAGAACAATCACATATAAGGCATAAACTCAGTCATAAAAAACATAGATTTAAGATTTGCTTCAACACTTCAATTCATAATAAATAAAATAACTAACAAACATGATTATAAATTCATAGATTCTAATTAAAAAAAACATTAACTTCCTAACGAATAATCTACCAAAGATCAATACTGTTCATACATTTGATTTTGAAGAGCTTTTCTCTAACATGCGTTTAGAAGACCTTGATAATAAAATACACAACTTAATAAACGAATTCATTAATGATAAACACATTCCATATTCAAATTATTCACAACAAATACAAAATATTTAAAATAGATAACAATACAGCAAAAACATTACTTGAAACCTTCTTAAACTTCAATTATATTAATTTTAAAAACAAAATATATATTCAGTCTAAAGGTGTTCCAATGGGAACGTCATCCAGTCCTCTACTAGCCAACTCATTACTTTTTTGGTATGAAAGAGAATTCTTTCTACAGAATGATGTAAATTGGAATATATTCCGCTATGTAGATGACATTATTATCTTGAATAACCCACAATTCAATAATGTAATTTACAAAATATACCCTAAATATTTGAAACTTAAAAATGATGAAAAGATACCTAATAAAAAAGTTAACTTTTTAGACTTAAATATAAACCTTGCAAACAAATCATTTGAAACATATGACAAAATAAATTGTTATAATTTTAAAATTATTAAATTCTGTAATGTTAATTCCAAAATATCATCAAATTTCTGCAAAGGCATATATTTTGGTCAATTTTTAAGATTTTATAGAATCAACAACATTAAAACAAATTTTATTAATAATATTAAAAATCTTAATAAAGAATATTTAAACAACGGTTTTAAATACAAAACAGTAAAGTTTTCAATAAACTATCAATACACAAATACCTAAGCAATAATAAATATAATTATAAATTTGAAACTTCAAACTTCTCCAATTAATCTAACCAGCAACTTATATTCTACTCTTATTATAAAACAAATGATAGCATAACTGAATATATTTCCTATGACTTTAAATAAATTAATTATATGATAACTATTATAAAGCACTAAATTCATTCAATTTGATCTCCAGTTACTGTGGGAGGGAACTGGAAACCAAATATAAATGAATTTGAAGCATAATAAATGTTTTATTATATAATTAATTTATAATTTTAAATATAATTTTGACTTAAATCAATGGAAACAAGAAATTAATACATATTTTCACAATCTTTAAAATTTCTAATGATTCTTTTATGACAGCTTTTCTAACTTTAAACAACTTTTAAAATAAGGTTTCCTAGAAGAGGGAGGGTTACTTTTAGAACAAAGTTGGCGGGCCCCAAACAGCCACATGTTACATGTCCACACATGTGCACTGTCTCTAGAGAGCAATAGGCGTCACTTTGAATAGGTAAGTATACAACCTCATTCTATGTTATCTAATATTAACTTAATTATACACTATAATGGTCGAAGAGAAATCTAACCATAATGAAGTAAGGGTGAAATGGGAATGTGGTATTTTCATCTGAAGAGCCCTGATACCACAGATTTATCTTTCCAATAGATTTTCCAATCTCCTTTTGTGTATTGTCCTGGTCTACCATTAGGGTTCCAAAAAAATAATTTATAATTGGCAAAGATTTAAAATATGTTTATCTATCCTTAACTAGGCAAAATATTATATCATATTATTCTAACTCTATAAAAATTATATATGGGGAAAAATATATTATATAAAATAATTGCAAAAACTATTAATTAACTATAAAATACTAACACCCTTTCAATTCTCTACCTGTTTGAAATAAAAGTGTATGGTTCTATCTTTATCTCTTTCCTCTCTTTTACTTAAAAATGAATATATAATTATTATAAATCTCTTCCTTTTTTTCCTATTTATTTTTAGAGTATGTCTATATGAAGGGTAAAAGCCGATGATAAAAGACGTTACGTTGTTAAATTTTCTTTTCTTGTTAAATTTTCTTTTTATTTTCAAAATTTCTTATTTTTCCTATTTGAAATAAAAACATATTATTCTAACATATAATTACTTTTATTACATTTTTTCTCCTTAATAAGATATAAATATAATACATTTAAAAAACTATTTAATCATCTAACTTAAACACAAAAAAATATCAACTTTTATCTTATATATTGTAACCAAGTATTTATTAATTTTATTATTTTTATTAACAGAGTGGTCATTTTCATATTTATATTTTGCTACTCTGTAACTTCCCCTCGTGGCTTATCTTTTTTTTAATTTTCCTAGTTTGTCCTTGCCTGAAATAAATTTTGTTTCCTCCTGAAGTTTTTGTCTTCCCTAATTTTTCACGTGGGATTTTGGTGGAGATGCTGGGTAAGTTAGGGAAGACAAACTGAAGATCGCCGAGAAGAATTTGAAGCCATGGGTGCTGTAATCCACATTTTCAGAGACTGGCACCAGGATTCCACCGCCGTGTCAAAGCCAAGACTTCCTTCCAAGATGACGATGTCCCTATAGACCACGATACGACGACAAGGCCTCTCTTCACGCCGCAAGAAAAAGGACGCAAAGCTACTAGGGACAAAGTTCCAAGACTTCGATGGAATCCTTGGCAGAAGCACGTCAGATCCATGTCAGTATCTACAATAATTGCTAGCTGTGGGTCACAGCTCCCATAGGGAAGAAGCTATGTAACCAAGTATTTATTAATTTTATTATTTTTATTAACAGAGTGGTCATTTTCATATTTATATTTTGCTACTCTGTAACTTCCCCTCGTGGCTTATCTTTTGTTTACTTCTCATAGTTTGTCCTTGCCTGAAAAAAAATTTGTTTCCTCCTGAAGTTTTTGTCTTCCCTTATTTTCCACGTGGCAATATTTAATTTAGATTTAGCTTGCTAATCTAATAAAATTTCCTATTTATATATAAAATATTACTATTATTAAAAGTTTTAAATATAGTTCTGTCACACAATATATAAATCCATGTTAACTTACTCTACAATATTAACTTAATTTAAATTATATTAAAGATTTAAATTTTTATTAGATAAACTTTATTATTTACATTATATATACCATATCCTTTTTTTGGGGGTTTTAGGCGAATTTTATTTAAGAAAGGTTCAGTGACCTATTGGTGCAATGAGGTAGGTAGTTTTTACAAGATGGCTGATAACAAACGTTGTGGAATTGAATTTCCGGCAGGGAGGCCTCAGTTTTGTCCTTTGATATCAAACATGGCTGGTTTCGATTCTCTCTCGCTCTTTCTTTTATTGCAGGTTTCTTTGTAATTTCTCATTATGTACACATTATATATACATAGAGGTGTTATATGTACATAACAATATTTGCTTACCGTTGGTGAATTGTAGCGTCGCCATACTTTATATTCATACTCGATTCGGCTGGAACACAGATTAACATATCAAGTTGAAAGATATTAATATTATAATATTGTAGATATATATATGATTAATATTCACCGAAATTTCTTTATTTACGGGGCTGCTAACCATAATGGGAAAAGAAAGGTAATAGCCAACAGCACCCGGTGTTCCCAGGTGGTCACCCTCCCAAGTACTGACCTGGCCCGACATTGCTTAACTTCGGTGATCGGACGAGAACCGGTGTTTTCAATGTAGCATGGCCGAAGGCATTAATAATCACGAGGGTAATTCTTAAAAGAAGACAAGGAGGTGTTGAGTGAAACGTGAATTTATTGATGAATTGGAGAGGAGTGAACTTCAGGATTTGGTTTAACCATGGGGGGGGGGGGGGATAAGCACCACCACACAATTTTTGAGCACAATATACTTCTACTGGGTGGAAGAATAACGTTTTTCAACGTAAATGAGTATTGTGCTTTAAAACGTGTTTTACCTACCTTTTAATCTTAAATAAATTTTGAAATTGCAATCATTTATGAAACAAAATTCTTTAGAAAGAATTACGTTCATTGTTAAAAACTGTTCTTTTAAAAGTGTGTGTGTGTGTTTCAAGGCTTCCACACATTTAAAGGAAATAATTATTTCAGACAACAGGACAGGGTTTACAATTTTGTTTGTCACAAATCAAAGCTCTCGACCAGAATAAAACACAAAAATACTCATTTTATTCATTACAACGCTATTCATCACACACTTGTTCGGCGGTACAACTACTAAAATTGGAACGATACAGAGAAGATTAGCATGGCCCCTGCGCAAGGATGACACGCAAAATCGTGAAACGTTCTATTACAAAATTTGTAAAATTATATAAGATAAATTTTTGATGAACTTTTATATGAACAAGAATATTAACTTAAAATTTAAATAAAAAAAAAACAAATTTTGAATTGACGAATCAACAACGTACAAGTAGCAATTACTGGTTATATTAATCAACAACAACAACAAGCTTTTTATTGGGGACCTATTTCCTACAAAAGATTCACCCTGGTGATAACTGCTCAGAAAAGATTTGTTTATAAGAATATTGGAAGTGTTACTATGATAACTTTGGAATTATTTTTATCCTAAAATACCCAAATCTGAACTCTTTTTAAAATTATGTCAAAATGACACAATAGCATGCAACTACGCAGTGCCACCTAACGTCAACAGAATTAAATTTTTAGATTACTTATACGACTATTTAGATTAATTTGAAGGGAATTTTTCCATGAACTATTGAAACATTTCTAATTATACCTATTTCTTTTTTCATAAAATTATTTTACGTATATTCAAAATGCACAAATATTCGTAAGAAAAAAGCACATTGCAATGTTTTGAATGTAAATAGTGGAAATAAACTTGATTAATAATAAAACAATAACTAAAATATTATTTAATATCCAGTGATTTTGTTTGATGAGGCTGGAATTGTTCAACGATTGAAAAATCCTATATTAAAACAAAATAAATGAGCAAATATGATTGCACCTCGACCTGCCCACTCTGTAGGAAAGAACTCTGGCAGTCCATCAGTGGTGGAGTCTTTCCTACGGTAGACGCTACCAATGAAGACACACACACAAACATTGTATATATATATCAATTTTATATCTTACACTTATTTATCTATATTTATCCTTATTTATATAGTCTTATTTATTAAATTTTATATTTAACCTTATATTCTATTATATAAATGACGTAATATAAATTTGGTGTCAATCTCTCTATCTCTCTCAACAGTAAATAATAATGGATTTATATATAGGAATGTAATACACACACACACTATACACAGAAATTGTCTAAAATATATGTTTGTTTTCTTTACACAATTTGGAAATATATTTATATATGTGAAAAATATCTAAAAAAGGTCAGGTGTTGATATAAAAAACAAATCAGACATTCTGGCCACTAACATGAATATTTTTTAGAAGGCAGAGTGCCATCTAGTAGAAGAAAATCAACTCAACGTTGATTTTAACTTGTTCTCTGATATTTGGCCAACTCATTTTCTGTTTGGCCAAATATCAAGGAAAAGGTTAAATCAACGTTTAGTTGATTTCTCTTCCACTAGATGGCACTCTGCCATCTAAAAAGGCTCATGTTTGTAGCCAGGATATGCCTAATTTATTCATAATATTTATATATATATTGTGTTTTACATAAAAAGAGGGTGACCGTAAAACTTACAAACATTCAGTCCTACATTTGTCATAACAATGTTCAATGTCAACATTCTCGGCACATTCAATTTCATCTGCACACATAACATCTTCAATTATAAATATTAGCAAAAATAACACAGAGTGCATATAATTATTCTAATCACTATGCAAAACTTCTCTCATAATATTTTTTTAGAATTGATGCCAAACGACAAATATATCACAAGACTTTAAAAAGGATCAGATTTAGGCATGTTCCACAGTTGTCATGGTAATTTTCTAAATTTGGCAAACACATAGTGTTGTTCAATAGTTTGCTAATTGGGTAGTTTATATTTTCATACATATTTATTAAAATTCAAATATATGACATTTAGTAAAAGGTTTTTTTTTGGGGGGGATTTAATTTGTTATCCCTAGCTTTCGAGCTTAAAAGCCTTCTCCTAAAAGGGAACGTTATATATTAACTTGAAATAATAATAACACAACAGACTATTTTTACTTTAGAATAAAATTCCTTTGCGATGGCATGCATTGCTAGAGTCTCCTAACCTATAATATCTAGAGCTTGCTGATTTTATTGTTCGGTATTTGTAAACCACCAAGGCACCTCCAAGATTTTTTCACAGACTATATAAAATTTACAGTGATAGATCTACACTGTTAGATGGGCATAAACCAAAGTCTGGAACTCCAAGTTACCAACAAATTTGGGAGCTCTGTGCTCAATGCTGAACTGGAAGCTGTCAACCTTAGAACACATTGATAAGGAAGGACCCACATAAACTTATTTTTCTTACAGACTAGCTGTCAGCTATACAACCCATAAAACATTGTTAGATAAGCTCTCAAATGTCCCTGAGGAAACTTTCTCTGAATTTAGACAAGCTTCACAGGGACACACAAATCACCTTCTAGTGGATCCCACATAGGACTGAAAGGCAATGACACAGCAGATGCATTTGCAAAATATCCGCAGAAAAATTGCAGCAATACCAAACTTACACCTTGATTCGACTATTTCAAAGGAATTCAAAAAATGAAATATCCTTAAATAAATACAGGAACCAACATCCTATAATTGGCATCTGAACCAAACGCCTGGAGCTATTCTGGAATATTGAGATGAACCGACTGGCAGAAAACTGTATTTCCAGGCTCAAAACTGGCCATACAAGACCACTCATCATCCAGGATGGTGTAAAGACCTTCCCACAATGTACCATCTGTAGGGCCGAAGACGCCTCACTAGACCACCTCCTGGAATGTATGGGAGCCTCAAGACAGGACCTGCTGTATTCCAACCATACCAAGATTGTAAATTTGAACTATGAATATAGGCTCCATGACCTTGTATGGTATACAATGGGATAAATAAAAAAAAATATTTTTTGGAATTCCTTGAGAGTTGTCTGATTTATACATTCATTAATACACCGCTAAAGAGAACCCATATTATATCGAGATTTTGATTAACTATAGCCATGGAGTTCACTTAAGCCATGGAGTTCACTACAGACATGTATTCACTATAGTCATGTATTCACTAAATTTAGTGACTAAAGCCACGTTTTCACTATAGCTATGTATTCACTATAACCTTGTATTCACTATAACCTTGTATTCACTATAGCTATGTATTTACTATAACATGTATTCACTATAACCTTGTATTCACTATAGCTATGTATTTACTATAGCCATGTATTCACTATAACATTGTATTCACTATAGCCATGTATTTATTGTAGCTATGTATTCACTATAGCCATGTATTCACTCTAGCCATGTATTCACTATAACCATGTATTCACTAGAGCCATGTATTCCCTATAACCATGTATTCACTATAGCCATGTATTTCCTATAACCATGTATTCACTATAGCCATGTATTTCCTATAACCATGTTTTCACTATAGCCATGTATTTACTATAGCTATGTGTTCACTTTAGACATGCATCAACTGTAGCCATGTATTCACTATAACCATGTATTCAACATAGCCATGTATTTATTGTAGCTATGTACTCACTATAGCCATGTATTTACCATAGCTATGTGTTCACTTTAGACATGCATTAACTGTAGACATGCATTAACTGTAGCCATGTATTTATTGTAGCTATGTATTCACTATAGCCATGTATTCAATATAGCCATGTATTCACTATGGCCATGTATTTACTATAGCTATATGTTCACTTTAGACATGCATTAACTGTAGCCATGTATTCACTATGGCCATGTATTCACTATAACCATGTATTCACTATAACCATGTATTCACTATAGCAATGTATTTACAATAGCTATGTTTTCACTTTAGACATGCATTAACTGTAGCCATGTATTCACTATAACCATGTATTCACTATAGCCATGTATTTATTGTTGCTATGTATTCACTATAGCTATGTATTCACTATAGCTATGTGTTCAGTTTAGACATGCATTAACTGTAGCCATGTATTCACTATAACCATGTATTCACTATAGCCATGTATTCATTATAACCATGTATTCACTTTAGCCATGTATTTACTATAGCTATGTTTTCACTTTAAACATGCATTAACTGTAGCCATGTATTCACTATAACTATTTATTCACTATAGCCATGTATTCATTATAACCATGTATTCACTTTAGCCATGTATTTACTATAGCTATGTGTTCACTTTAAACATGCATTAACTGTAGCCATGTATTCACTATAACCATGTATTCACTATTGCCATATATTCACTATAACCTTGTGTATTCACTATAGCTATGTATTTATTATAGGCATGGAGTTCATTATAACCACGTATTTACTATAGCCATGTATTTACTAGCGCGAGCAGCGGCTGTTCGAAATGAAGCCATTTTGCCCGTGCTTCGATTTCGTTAGTCACCGAAATGGAGGATCAACGAATTTGCATCAAGTTCTGTGTGAAAAACGAATTAAAGGGTGTCGAAATTTTTTGGATGTTAAAAACAGCCTACGGGGATGCCGCCATGAGCCGAAGATGAGTTTTCGAGTGGTACAAGCGCTTC